TATGTAAATGAACATGGATTATTTGACAAACGACCGTTCGAGCAATACTTTCAATTTTCAATGAACCGGAAATTTGCATTTTTTCAAAAAATTTGCATTTGTCATTTTTTCACAAAGAAGCCATTTACCGAAAAACGACCGGACTTCATGCAAAAAACCGGTAATCATGCACCTGGATGTCCGTGCGCACCACCCTTCTATAATGCACCACCTTTATCCAAACTGACACCCTTCCTCCTGCATGCCGGAAGGGGCCAAAGCACGGATAATATGAGCCTAAGTGTTAGATTACATAATAGGGATCATTCTTGCTAATACCGATCTGCAAGTTTAGTGCAAAAACGTTTGGTCGCACCGGAGAGCCTGGTGCGTTCCAGCCTGGGTTTTAATGTGTCTTTGCATGAAAGATTTTTAATGTGTCTTTGCATAAAAGATTAGCAATCATGCAATCATGCATTCTGTGTTTTTTTTTTGCGGAAATAGGAGCGTTCACTGCTTTACAGTTTAATATGTGCATTCATCTTCTAGTTTAGAAGAAATAGCCATCGACTGTGCCAGTGATGCTGCGTTGTGAAATTGCACTTTTTTACTTTGTCTGTTAACCGCGCAAACAAAATTCCCATAATTTGCAAATGGAAATGTAATGTGCCCGCATACGAGCGTGTGATAGATCATTTGCTCATGCAAGCCGATACAAGAGCAGTAATTATTCATGCAGATTTATAGTTTTCTATCCCTTCTGGTTCTTGAGTTCAATGGATTACAACAAAAGTTCAAATATTAAACATATGTTCACATAAGGTTAAAACTGAACAAAAACGCAGAACTGCGCCGTAACTGATAGTATCATTAAAGAAGTGCAGTTAAATCCCATGTCATCAATAAACTATCGGTGTGCGTGTTTGCGCCCGAGTTTTTCATCCGCTTGCAACTCAGCGATCAGAGAAATCAGGAAACTGGATAATTTCAATAATTCTGGTTAATGCGCGGATTACAAACGCATAATCCACTCTTACGTAAATCTATGTTTTGACAAAAAAAGCGGATGCCCACAATGAAAAATGGAGTCCTGGAAAGAAGCAGTTTCTTAAACTGGTCATGCGAAGGAGCTGAAATTTCCGGCAAACTTTTAAGTTTTATATTTTTACTATCTATGTGCAGGCCACAGGTGTAAAACGAGTTTTTGCTAGCCCTATTTTGCGCTTCCGACACGCCACAAGTTCAGTTTGCAAAACTGTCAGCACAATTCCAAAGGAAATCAGACAGGTTGGAAAGGTGCAATTTTACCATAACGGCAACTCAGAAGCAGCTTTCAAAAAAAAAACTTAAATAAAAAAAAAACCTAAGAATTTTCTGCTCATTCATGTACTTTTGCACTATTCCATCGTCTAGTTATTAGGTGGCCTGTATTATGACTGCGTCATTGCAGTTTGAAAATATGATGCGCCAATACGCAGTGCCATGCCTAAACAGAAGCTCATCTTACGCTTGTAGCCCGCACATGAACCGAGTTAACTGGATATCAGCATTATCCCGAACTGAACTTTCACTTGAGCGTACGTTGGACTTAGGCGCGCTTTAAAGCTGAAATTGAAATATCTAGGTTACAGACTGCATAGAATATCCTCGTAAAGTTCAGCTCTTTAGCCTGACTGGCTGGTGAAGACGCTTTTCGGTACAAATGTCTTTGGACCAAATAAGCGATACAGGCCCACGCTGAAACTCATTTTATGCCTATGTGTTTTTTCCGGGATAGAAAGTAAATATTCGAGGAATAAAGATCTTCGGGGACAGCATACCAGACGCGCGGTTATGCATCTTTTTTTGTATTTTTTCCTTGCTGTAGCAAGACCGTAAGGAATTCCAGCTGTTAAAATTTGTGACATATTGACCCTTGAAGTTCAAGGATTTAATTGTGCAGCTATGTGGTATGCCACTGTTGATATTGGCTTCAGTGACGCGACAAACAGAAAGTTGTTGGCACACGAAAAAAATTCCACGTTTTGGTCACATATGAATAGGAGACATTCCTTTAAAATCCGAGTTTTCCAGTCTGGCTCATTCTCAACTTAGCAATTTTCCCGCCAAAACTTTTACTTGTTCGTACGTGAGACCTGCACGGTTCTAAGAAGCTGAATTAGAAATCTTTTGGTCGTAAACAAGAAACGAACATTCCTTTAAAAGTTCAGCTTTCTGGCTTTTTTCGTTTCTAAGCAGGCAGTTTCCCGACAAAAACTCCGCGTACTTGTACGTGAGACCTGATTGTGCATAATAGCTGATATCGTGTTCCTGGGTCGCACTTGGCCAGAGGACACAATACCAAAATTTCAACATTAAGGCTTGCGTGGTTGCAGAGTTAAAATACCCGGACAGAACAACACATGTGTAGACAGTATCACTGCAACATGCGTTTTGCTGTCTGTTGTATCGCTCTAGCGCCACACGGCAAAAACGCATAAAAAGATATGCGGGATAAGAGGACAACAACCCAAAATAGAATACACTGGAAAAACGAAGCACCAACGAACTTCGCTATACAGTGAGGAATCGTTGTCCTGCTTACACTGCTAGATCGCAATAAATTCAGCGCCGTGGAGCTAAGTTCAGTGGACAGAGGGGCTGCCATGACATATGGTACACTCATTTTGACCCAAAGCAGCTGGTTCTTTTTTCAGAGGGAGCCAAATTTGTAATTTTGTTTACAGGAGAGGGCACAGTCGCAGCCGCATAAAAAAAACCCAGGCTGGAACGCACCGGCCGGACCCATGCGATCATGCGTTTTTGCACTGGACTTTGAAGTACTCAAGTTATTAACTTCATGAATGGTTGTTGCTTTACACCTACTTTTGCGGTCATTAACATAAATCACCACGAATTTTGCATAAAGTAAATGTACAGTTTCCATTTAACGATTGTTCTTTAAAAGTAACCTAGTTGTTCAGTCAGAAATCCAGCCAAAATTTTAAGTACCTGTACGTAAGAACCACGCATACCTCAAGGCTGAATTTGAAATACTTCAGTTATACTTGGACGAGAACATTCCTCCAAAATTTCAGCTTTCCAGCTTTTTTGGTTACAAGTTAGCAATTTTCCCGCAGAAACTTTCATACGCCCTTATGTGAGTACAACGCATAGATGGGGTTTGAATTTGAAATAGCTAAGTTGAACTTAAACAGGGAACATTACCCCAAAATTTCTGCCTTCTAGTTTTTCTGGTTCTCGAGTTGAAAGTAGATGAAAAAAAGTGCGAACATACAGACACACATACACAAAGACAGTCTCTTCCCAATACGTGTTTTTATGCGGTTTTGCTGTGCAGCGCTATAGCAGCGCTATAGCACTGCTACA